CTCTTCTTGCCTTTTATCTTTCCTTTTTTTCTACGCCATTAACAACGCTTTTCCGAAAAAGTTCATGTATGTACGCCCTCACGTTTAATAATTTCACTCAAAGTCTGTGACAGCATAGCCATTATTCAGTGTCCTCATGCTTGACATTTTCTTCTCTCTCCTCCGGTTCTTTATTTTTGTGCTTTTCTACACTACAGCGTCTTACCTTATACCTTTTTTCCTCTGAAAACCTTTTTGCTTCTTCCCTGCGTGAGTTTAAAAGCAGAATTCAAAGACAGAGCAAAGTGGTGCCGTTATTATGTATGTTTTCTGTGTATTAAAATTAAAAATTAAAAAACCCTGGACATCTCTTATTTTAAAAATAAGGTTAATTATACGTAATGTTAGTACAGTATAACACTGTACAGTTCACAGATCATTTTAACATCTTGTCTCACTTTAATCCTCACAGCAACCATTTGAGTTTCAAGGGACATTTCAGACTAGGTTTACCAAACATTCTCCTGCGTCGGGATTAACTTTCAAATACTTACTAAAGTACTTTTCATCTATTGTCCCAAGAAATTCTTCCAGCAGGATTATTTGTTCTCTTTCTATATTTTGCAAGTCTGAAAGTGGGGGAAGGGTGAGGAAATAGTTGAGAAAGAAAAGAGTGAAAAATAAGATCATTGTCAGAAAAGTATGTCTCATTCCTCTGTAAAAACATGCCAAGAAATAGGAAACAAGATCTTACCATTTTCTTAGTTTCTATGTTACATGGAGTAAAATAGGCATAATATGATGTTGTTCGTTTATTTGAGATGCTATTAACGCATACTTTCCGATTTCAGTCATTTAAAATGTATATAAAGAATGGCTGTGCAGGTATTTAATGACTGATACAATTATTATATTGTTTCTATATCTTAAATTTTGAAAGTCAACATGGAAAAATTTATTTGTTCAAATAAAACATCTTTCTCTCATGTTCCCTGTAAACAAATAGAACTTTTCGTTACAAGCTAATGAACATGGGAAATGACTAGCCTAAAAACATTCCAGATTACTGCTTGAGGAAGAATTGTGTTGAGCCCTCTGAGTAAATTTGTAATGCTCTCTGTCACCTCTCAGCTACTGAAGGGCTAATTATCCATTTCCTAAATTTACACTGATCTTTTCCTTTTCTTCTCTCTGCAATTTTCCTCTCTCCTTCCTTCCACTTTCAGATCTCTTTATTACCTCCAAAGGAAAAGGCGTTTTAAGGTGCAAATTGACTAACTTAGTTTGAAAAAATTTTGGATCTGCTAAACTGTCTTTTGTTGGAAAGAATATTGTAAATACTGACTAGAATTTGGGATTACCCATGAATTTTAATTATCGTCTTAGCCATAACTAAAGGAGGTTAATTTATGCATAGGTACTTCATAGACATTCAGCTTTAGAGTCTAAACAGATCAATTTACTAATGTTTAAATTATCATTTTGTAATTTGCAAGTGAGAAGGAAAAGTGTAGGTTCAAAACACTAGACCCTTGATGCATCTCAATTTTTATTGGCTGATGTAGCTGACAAAGGTTTGTAAAAATGGTAGGACTTGAACGAGGCCATATATCTTTTTAAATTGTTGGGCTTATGCGCTCGCTTCAGCAGCACATATACTAAAACTGGAACAATACAGAGAAGATTAGCATGGCCCCTGCGCAAGGATGACACACAAATTCGTGAAGCGTTAAATATTTTAAAAAATAATAATGAAAAAATAAAATAAAATAAATTGCTGGGCTTAGATCAATGGAGTGAGGGAAACACATAAGCTGAGAAAGGGAACAAGACCAGCACAAGCACAGAGACAGGACTTGATGGTACATTACACATATAGAGGACTGACTGTTAAAGAGGCTACCTTGGCAAGAGCAGAGAGCTATAAAAACTAAGGTGAGGCCAGCATAAGGGAGGCTTTGAAAAGGGGGCACAGGGATTAGAACTCGATTCAGTGGAAAGAAGGCTGTAGGTTAGGCTTTTGCGGAGAAGAGTGACGTGATGGAAGGACTGTTTAGGAGGCAGCAGGACTGCAGCGGGGAACGGAGGCAAGAGAGGAGAATCAGCTGTTGTGATTATCTCTGCGCCATCAGTTTCCTTGGCTTGGAGTTTTGCTGCCTTTCAACAATGCCTCGATTTGGTTTTACACCATTCTTTGAGAAAGTTTTTATCCAGGAGCGAGAGAAAAAGGGAATTAGTATGTTTTGAGTCCTTATTATAGTAGTCTAGACACCGTTTAGTTGCTTCACATATGACATTTCTCAATCCACATAAAACAACTCTGTTGAGGTAGCTGTTACTATCCCTACTTTACATAGGAGGAAACTGAATTAGGTCACTTGCCTTTAGTTACATAGCTATGAAATGACAGGATCCAGTTTCATACCCATTTCTGACTTCAAAGTTCTTTTCCACTATACCAAGACTCTTTCTGCTGTTATATAACTGTTGTTATATTAATAAATTGGATTCAATTTTTATAAAAATAGTCAGCTGGGTTTTTGAATATTGCCATCTTAATCTGAAAATGTTGCCTTTTCAAGACCCAAATGCTGTCTCTCTGTTTAGTTCCTCAGCCACCTACGGAAGAAGAGGCAGGCACACTCCCTCCATCATTTTCAGAAGACCTGAGGAAGCCGTCTTGTCTCCATTGCCACCTTCAGTGGAGGACACAGGATTACCTTCTTATGAACAGGCAATGGCACTGACCAGAAAACACAGTATTTCACCACCACCGTCATATTCTGGGCCAGCAAAAGGGTTTAGGGTATTTAAAAAGTCTATGTCACTCCCACCTCACTAAGACCATCTTGCCATCTTGATGGTACAAGAGATTCATGTTATTTGAATGGTTCGTTTTCCCTGAACCAAAAAGACATGTCAATGCAGCCCTTTATGACAAACGGCAAGAAGTAAAGAAAGAATAAGCACAAGTACTATACCACAGTTCTGTCGGCGTCTTGGACTTGAATTTCATCGTTATCAGCTTGATAAGAAACTTTGATTCCATCTCCTTGCAGTTAAGAAGAGAGCACTTTTTTGTTTACTTTAATGGTTCAAAAACATCTGTGTTACGGATGTCATAGCTAGAACTATCTGTGTATACTTTGTACAGATAATCTACTTTGTGTAGATTTCTGGTGTTGAATATTTAAAAAGTAAGATTTCGTAATCATTAGATTATCTCAAGGTGTAATATTAGACCCACTCTTCATTAGAATTTCCTTTTGGTTGGAAAACACAGGATTTGACATTTCAATATAAATTGGTAACCTTGATAGTTTTATATTTTAAATTATTGCATAGCATTCACCATACTTTGCACATTGTTGACTTTGCTATCAGTCCTGTTTCGTTATGATAAGTGGAGTCAATAGTTTTCTTTAAAAAAAAAAAAAGCGCTTGCTAGGGAGTTAGTTCTTCAGAGGTTTGCAATGGCAAAGATTTGGAAGACTTGTTACACTAACAAATAAACAGGCCTCAATCTAGGGGTGACTAGAACTTGATAAAGTTGTCCATGTTCCTGATGAGTAGACACACCCATTTTCATTGTTAAATTATCTATTTTTTACTATATATAATTATCTTGAAAATTTGTTGTATTTTCTAAATAATAGCTTAAGAACCTGGGAAAAGTAAGTTACTTTTCTGCTATTAAAATAATATTGATTAAAGTTACCAGCAATGCCTTGTATCTCTTACTATCTGGACACAAAACACCATAGGTAATCATTTTAATGTATACTTGGTCTCTTCTTCTAATTGTATATATGACCAGTCTCTCCTTAAGAATGTAGTAGAAAAAAAAAAAGAATGTAGTAGAGTATAAGCTATACACCTCTGGAGTGAGTGTGTGTGCATAAATTTATGTGGGTGGGTGTATATGTATGTGTGAATTTGTTTCTTTTTTACAGGAGCTCAAGAAATATGACATATTCTTGAAAAATAAAATAGAAAATTCTGTTCTTTGTTTTGCCAGGCATTGCATTTTCCTATTACTTAAGATCCTTTTATAAAATTGTATTTTGTTTTATAATTTTTACAGAGATGAGACTAAACCCCACATGCATCTGATAATTTCTTCCAAATGAAATGTTTAGAAAGTATAAGTCATTACAGTGTGTGCATGTGCGTGTGTGTATGAACGTATGTGTCTCTCCTTTAAGACAGCATGATCTTAAGGCAGATAGATAAAAGCAAAACCTTAACCATTACAGACCTCCAAAGACATTTTAGATTCTTGTGTCTCTGGTTTCTTGTCATCGAAAAAAAAATTGTTTAGCAATATTTATATATAATTATGAAAAGTGGTGTTTTTAAAGCCACCTACATTACCTATAAAAATTTTACTATTTGTCATACCTTAGCTTTACATTTTTCTCACGTAATTTTGTACCTTCCACTTTGCACTTATTTTAATCCTCTTTTAAAGGTAAGAGGCAAACTGCTCACTTCATAACAATAAGACTAAGGATAACTTGCCCCAAATTAACATGTTGGTGAGAATTAGGTTTAGAATTGGCAAGCATACTTTCCTAGGCCCATCTTGTACCTATAGAATTATACTGTCTCAAATCATAAAATCCAAGAATCTTGTTACCTAATTCTAAATTTGTATGAGAAATTAATAAGCATTGGTCATATATATATAAATGCATATAGGTATATATATATATTGCATATAAATATGTATTATCACATATGTATTTCTTAGGATGAATAGAATATATGTTATATCTTATTGAATCATAATTTGAAATATTCCATTAACTTTTTTACTCTCATTGACTCACAAGAGTCTAACTGCAAAGTCTAACTTCAGAATCTGTGACAACCACTTCTCCCCTACAGCAGTAGCCTAAATTTGTTATATACCGCCATTTAATGTAAAATTGTTGTTTTAACTTGAATGACTCTAGAATTCATTATTAAGATTGTGAAATCACTGGCATTTGTAGAGCATTCAATGTTGAGCTCATAATACTTTGAATATAAAAAGAATAATGTGATAGAACCATAATTGACAAATGCTTATCATGATTGAAAAAAAATCTCAATATAAAATTATTGACATATATGTCTGTCTCTTTCACTATTTTCTATTCCTGTTGCATTTTCAGTGTTAGATTTTTTTTGGACTGTCGTGCTTGTTCCCTAGGCAACTGCTTAGTGTTAATCATTAAATCTACTTTGACACAGTTGTATGTTTAATTAGATCAGTTTTCCCCTCTGAAAACAGGGTAAATTAATGGAATATAGATATAAAAAGGGAATGAGACTAGAAAAAGAGAAATACATCTTTATAATGTTATACCTTTAGTAAGATAGATAATTCTACACGGAATATTTTTTCAAAATGAAAAAAAATTAAACAGCACGAACTCTGAGAGTGAAAATACTGCATCTGTTAATGTTCCCTCTGCGTGAAAACTGAGTGAAAACTCTCAGAGTAATTAAAAACTAGAACAAAAGTATCCTCTGTGTTTTTGGTTTCTTCTTCATAAAATTCCAATCAATGTTTTCTATGTATCAGATAATGTATGTGTTTATACTTTTTCTATATGTACAAAAGGATTTTTAATGAGAAAACTTTTGTTAGTGCTGCTCAAAAGCTCAATTTCATACTATTCATGTCTTTTTTGTTCTAATTGAAAGCGAATTAAATTTGAATAGTTATTAGTTTGATTTGAAATGTTGCATATGATGCTTATACTATTAGAAGAGTGTCTAGATGTAATTTTTTTACACTAGATTCTTTTGTAAATTACCAATGTGGCATTTTGAACATGTATGACATTGATGCTTTCAATTTTCTGTATCATATGTTTTCTCCAACATTTTTTGTTGTTGTTTAAGGCAGTTCAGTACAAATACATCAGTGTTTTCATTATCTGGAAAACCAAACCCATTTTTTTAATATATAAAAAAAATACAGCCTTGATTATGTTTTGGTTTTAATGGATTTCCTATTATACACTTTTTTGTATATGTGAAAAAACTTTTTACTAAGTAAATATTTGTTGCTTCTTTCAATTAAACATACTTCTTCCTCATATAAGGCATATAATTATATAAATTAAATATGAACAACACAATATATGTTTTCAAAACAATGTTTACAGCGTGGTGTTGCTGTATATATCTTTCACCCAGTGGGGCTAGCATTCTGTTTAAACAATTTATTTGCATTGTGAAAGTGCTATTCTCTAACACGGTTTTAATATTTAATATATTATTTGAGGCAAATTTATAATATTTACTCCTTAAAATTTATTCCTTTGCCCTATGTCTATACATAATTTAAAAATCAAAAGAATATAGTAATGTTACACTAGATTATAGGAGTAACAGTACTTATAGCTTAAGAGAAACAAATACTAAATATCATACAGATAAACCCTGATTATTATTAAATATTACTTCATATTACACATTTAGACTACCTTAAAATTTTTTTGGATCTAATTGATCTAAAATTATTGGATTTTAGAATGAGAAATTTAAAGAGAATGAGAAAATTAAAATTATTTTAATTTTATAAAATTAAGGGAATGAGAAAACAAGCTAATGACTAGAGAAAATATTTACAAAAGATATCTGATAAAGTAGTTACCCAAATTATGCAAAGAATTCTTAAAACTCAATAAGAAAACAACTCAATTTTAAAAATGGGCAAAAGACCTGAACAGACACCTCACCAAAGAAGATATACAAATAGTAAACATATGAAAAGATGTTTAATGTTGTATGTCACTAGATAATTGCAAACCAAAACAACAAAAAGACACGCACTACATACCTATTAAAATGGCCAAAATCTAGAACACTGACAACACTAAATACTGGTGAGGATGTAGAGCAATAGGAACTCTCATTCATTGCTGGTAGGAATGCAAAATGGTACAGTCTCTTTGGAAGACAGTTTGGCAGTTTCATACAAAACTAAATACTCTTCCAATTTGATCCAGCAATCAACCTCTTTGGCATTTACCCAAATGAGTCTTATGTCCACACAAAGACCTGCACATGGATGTTAACAGCAGCTTTATTTACAATCACCAGAACTTGGAAGCAACCAAGATGTCCTTCAGTAGACAAATAGATAAATGTTATATTCAAATAATGTAATATTATTCAATGCTAAAAAGAAATGAGCTATCGAGTCATGAAAAGACTTGATGGAAATTTAAATGCATATTATTAAGTGAGAAAAGCCAATCTGAAAAGACTGCATACTATATGATTTCAACTTTATGACATTCTGGAAAAGGCAAAACTGTGGGGATAGTAAAAATATCAGTGGTTATCAGGGATTAGGGTGTGGGGGTGGAGAAGGGATGAATAATTGGAGCACAGGGGATTTTTTAAAGCAGTGAAAGGGCTCTTTATGATACTATAATGGTGGCTGCATTTCATTATACATTTGTCCAAACCCATAGAATGTACACCAAGATTGAAGTGCAATGTAAACTATGGAGTTGGATGATAATGATGTGTCAACATAGGTTCATTGATTGTAACAAATGTACCACTCTGGTGGGATATTTTGATAGTGGGGAATGTTATTCATGCATAGGAAAAGGGGGTATATGGGAAATCTCTGTACTTCCCACTCTGAACCTAAAACTGCTTTAAAAAGTAAAGTTTATTTTAAAAATTACTTTTAAGACAAAAAGTTTCCTTAGGACCAATTGACAATTTTAAAAGAGAAGATTTGACTGGTGAACACAATGCAATACACAGATAACATATTATTGAATTTACACTTGAAACCTATATAATGTTATTAACCAATGTCACTCCAATAAATTAATTAAAATAAATAATAATTTAATAAGTTTTTAAATGCCTCTTTATATGCTACTGAAAGAAAAAAATTGTTTTAGTAATCATTTTATGTAATATTTTACTAGATGAAGTCTATAAGTAAAATATGTTCTAGATTTTTATTGCAGTGACAAGATAGTGCAAGAAACACAGAAATAAACTTTTAAAAAGTAAATGGAATAGCCACATTTC